CACAGACCGATTTTCCTGAACTAATGGTTGCAACTGATTCACTAACATTTATAATTTTATATGGTGAAGATGTTTTCTCAAAGTTAAGAATTGCATTGCAGATTTTGTTAACAATTGGGGTTTCTATTGCTTGTTGTGAAAGGTCCTTCAGCAAGTCATTGAGGATCTCAAGAACGACTTAGTAACTTGGCAATACCTTAATACCTTAAATTTTGATAGTTTAATTGATGCATTTGCAGCACTAAAAGCACAAAAGGTTCACATAATGTAACCCTGAATACCAGAATGCTACCAGTACAAATCTAGTTAAGTATATGTACAATTTTGTAAACTAATAAAATTTGTTATTTGTAAACTTAAGTAGTATTCTATCAATCTGTTTTATAATTCATGTACACCACAAGTGACTGGCTTCTCATATAAAACATAAGTTTCAAAACTAGGGATGTAACAGAAATTTATTCTGCATACTTGAAAGATTACTCTAGCTATGTGGCTTTGAACAGTACTGGATGACATAAATATCAAAATGGTTTACCTAGTGGCTATACTTTAGTAATTCCAGGTTTACAATTGTGATATCGTTAGATGTTATATTGTGACTTTATTTTAGGCATGTGTAAGGTGGTAATTAATTCTTTATGTTATTGTCATTAAGTGGGTAATAAAACAAATAATCAAGACATTTCAGAGGTGGGGGGGCACCAAAAGTGTCTTTGCCCCCGGGTGCTGAGAACCCTTGCTATGCCACTGACTATAGCTTGACTGAAAAGTACCAGCCTTTATAATCATAGTAACAGTTACTCTATGTTGACCTAAAAATCATAGTTAACTTAGATCAGCTGTAAGGACTTGTAACAGCTACTGTATCCTGACCTAAAATCATAACAGTTACTATAGTTTGATCTAGAAGCTATAACAGCTACCATAGCTTGACCCAGAAATCATAATACCAGTTATAACTTAACCTAGAAGTCAAAACTATACTGTAGCTTGTCCTAGAAGTCATTATTGTATCTATTCTAGCATAATCTAGAAGTCATGATAACAGCTACTATAGTTTGACCCAGAAGTAATGATAACAGCTACCATAGCTTGACCCAAAAGTCAAGATAACAGCTAGTATAGCCTGACCTACAATTTATAATAACTAATATAGCTTGATAAAGAAATCATACTAGCTACTATAGCTTGTCTTAGAAGTCATGATAAAAGCTGCATTAGCTTTACTCAGAAATCATGATAATAGCTAGTGCAGCTTGACTTATAAGTCATAACAACTATTATTGTTTTATATAAGTGCTACCGACAAGTATCTGTTAGTTAGACCCTTAGATAATTGTGTATTCATTCAGGAAAATAAGGAGAACAAATAAAATATGTTTGATAACTTGACTGAGTTTTCCTAGTGTGTGAAATACTGAGATTATTTAAGATGAACTCTTAAAATGAACTCTTTCTCCATTATGAAATAAACACAAAGAAAATGCAGTGTATGTACTTGCACACATGAAAAGAGAAAAGACACCTCTATTGGATTCTGATTTGCTTTCTCTCAGGATTGTCTTGTGTCAAACTGAACACACTGATCTACAAATAGAACTAAACTTGTAGATGTTCAAGTAGAAACTGAACTAAGAAACTCTGCCTTAATTCTACTACAAAACTCAGTTTCATTGTCCATTTGACAGCTTCATCTTGCGAGCTTTGCCCTCTTAAAGCTTTGGTTTACTGTAACATACAGACAGGGTAGATTTGCTAGCAAAGGATATTACAGTTACTAATCCTTTGCATATTTCATTTTATGTTTAATGACAATGTGATAACTAAACAGCTCACTTGTGAGGAAAGAAAATTAGCATACCTTGCCAAATGTGGGATAGCACCTCATTTCTTGTCTCTGCTAGAAAAAAAAAGAAGCAAAGCTTTAGTCAGTAAATGTTTTTCTGTTTGATGAAAGTTCGACAGTGAGGTGCAAAGCAGTCAACTAAATGCCCACATCAGATTTTGGAATGAGAATTGTGTCAAGTCAAGATGCTTGACATCCTTCCTTCTTCATGAGTCATCATACATCTATCTAAGCATATTTATTAGAAATTTGTAATAGTATATAGGGACTTGGGTTTCAATAATCTTGTGCAACTCTCTATGGATGAACCTAATATAATCTTTACTCTATGTTGCAAGAAAACAATGAAAACAAACAAGTACGAATATGCTTAATGTGGGCAACTGTATCTTGCATGTACTGCACAATGTATTCAGAGATGGATGTGCAGCAACAAATGGAGAAATTGATTATGCTCTTTCAAGTCTGCATTGACGTTTAAGCATTTACAGCTGATTAGTAAAGATGTTTTTTTTTCAGAGCCAACCTCAAATTTTTCATGATGATTGCTAGAGAAATCAAACTATTCATAAAGCTTTAACAGGCAGGCAAACCAATGCTACCATTTCTCTACGGTGACATGACCTCTGATCAAGATGTTAGGGGAGAGGTCCACCAAACCTGAAATACTGAAAATTGTCACATATACATTTAAACTTTCATATGCTGATGTCCAAGACTTAGTAAATCACATGGATGTATCCAAGCTGTTACAGAACAAATTCTGTTGGAACTCAAAGCAAAGAAGCAAGCATCTGACAAACAAATTTTGGAGTTCAAGTGAAACTGCAAGCCTTTTCTGCTGAAGAAGGTAACTAACCTCTTAGAAAAGTCTCCACTGTAGTTCCCTTTAGTGAGAAATTGAACTTACATGATCCTTAAGTTCTTATCCATGATAAGAAAGCATACAACAGAAAATTTACTTGTGTTCTGCAGCTAGTGGCTGAAGCAGGCCGCATGCCAGAAAGCAAGTGTGATGAACTTATGAAAAAATTTACCTTTCACTTTCTGCAGATTCATCTTCCTTCAGTAGTTTCAGACCTGAGGATGAGAAATTGTTTATATTCTTCCATTACTACTTGGTTATCAAAGCTGAGTTTAGACATGTTTTGGGAGTTTGTGAAAATATTACTTCTCCTGTCTCACAGATGAGCAACTGTTGAATATGGGTTTTCAGTGAACAAAGAAGTGATGGTGGAAAAACTGGTTGGTTAATCTTTGATAGCACAGTGTATCATTAATGATCATGTTCATAGTATGCTTAACATCAGTTAATCCAAAGAGTTGCTACTTTCAGCAGCAGGTGCAAGGCAGAAATACCTTGAGGGCCAACACAGATAAAAGGAGGCTCAGAAGAAAAGTCAACAGAAAAGATCCTGGATGGATGAGCTTTCAAACATCAGGGGAAAAAAGATGCAAATAGGGGAAGATGTTCAAGTCATCATGAAAGCAGCTAACAGATGTGAAGAAAAAGCTGAAGCTACTGGAGAACTTAGTCTGGTTTCTAAGTCCAATAGCTTGAGAAGTACTGCTAAGGAAAAACAGGAAAAAATCTATGGGTGTGAAACTAGAACAGAAAATGAAGGAATCATTTTAATGTTATTTAGTTCTTAACATACACCCCCATTGGTATCCAGAGCAACTTACAGTTATTACTAGGCATCTCATTATTATTTTTACATACAAGTTCTGATACCCATTTTGAGTTGGGTTTTTACCAGAGCAATTTAGATATGAGCTCTTCATAATCAGTATACATGTGTATATAACATCAACCTAAGGTATAAAGCTAAAAAAATCTGTTATAGGAGGCATGGCAGCTGTCAGGGGTTAGAAAAATTTATATATTGTTTCAATTGCATTCATTCAGAGAACTTTGAAATGAAGGAGTCAAAAGGTTATGTAAGCATCTTATTATTTAGACATACCTCTACTCAACTACCATTCTATTATTGAAGATACAAAGAGACAATTTTCATATTTCATTGGTCACATGACAATATGTCTGAAGTTTTATGTAGTTTTTTAAAGGTTTATTTTGAAATAAAGGACTTAAAGCTTAGATAACATAATACTTGAAATTATAACATATATTATAATATTAATTTCATTTGCATACATCATAGTAAAGGTGTTTAATTAAATTTTGAATGCCACATAGTGACTTGCACAGAAAAGTGTTTAAAGGGGTACTTGGTGTGAATGGGTTAAGGGGACCTATCTGAGTGCTTAAAGGTTGACTCATTCTGATCCCAATATGCCACATAGTGAACAAATACTGTCCTTAAGATGTTTGCTTGTTGGGCTAGTTCTTGCCAAAAAATTGAGAAGATGGACATTTGTTTTTCTAGTACAATACTTTTTTTTACTGAACAAATGCTTTTCTGTAAGGTGTTTACTTGTTAAAGAAGGAAAAGCCAATTGAGGTGTAATTTTATGTCTTCCAAATCTATTATTTTTTCAAAGTATATAGGTGAGATAGCTAAAAATAAATATGGTGCAAGCTGCTTTCTATGCAGTGAAAATATATTTAACCAATTCAACTTATGAATGTAAAAAAATATGTAGAACCAAATTTCAGTCTCTATGTTACCTTGTTCAAAAATATCTTTCACTTTACATGATGATTGCTCAAATAAAATTTTAGAGTGGAAAACATTTCTTCCAACCCAGAAAAGTTAGATTACCTTAGCCTTCCGACTTATTTCGCAAATAAATATCTAGTTCCGGCTGTTAAACGCATTCACTTTGTGATGTCTAGAGATTCATTCATAATAAATGTTTTGTTTACTTAAGCATTTCTGTTCTTTCAGAATTGGCTCTAAACTACAAAGATGATGGGAATGAAAATTTTCGACTGAAGAAATACCACTGGGCAATAAAGTCTTACACAGAAGGATTGAAGCAAAGGTGTTCAAATACAGAACTGAATGCCCAACTTCTTACCAATAGAGCAGCTGCAAATTTTCATATAGGTATTTGATACAAATATTTTTATATATGGATAGGTAGTGAATTACAGGGATTTTTTTTTTCATTTGAGCTAATAATTGTTTATATATATGGATAGGTAGTAAATTACAAGAATTCTTTATTAGTCATTTGAGCTAATTAATGTTTATATATATATATATATATATATGGATACATAGTAAATTACAGGAATTCTTTACTAGTCATTTGAGCTAATAATTGAATTGCTGCAAATCTTGAAATTTTGAGGTGCAGTACTGGTTTGATTACTTAAATGAAATATTGCAACTTCAGAATAATAAAACATAGTGTACTATATGAAATGCTTGGTTCTGCATACAGTATCTTGTCTTTGTAAATATTTCATCAAGAACTCAGTTGATTATTTTTATCTTATCACCTCCCCTTCCTCTATTACTTTTCATGTAACTTATTTTATTGCCTGTTCATATTCTGTTCAGAGGAAGGATTTTCAACTGAAACTTTATGAAGGTTACGGAGATGTACCTTCTGTATATGTAATGTTTCCATTATTTAAATGATTGCATTTTTTATCTTGAAAAAAACAGACAAATGTAGATTTCTCAAAAAACAATTTTTCTTTTCAGTTTAAAATTCATACTCATGACATGTTGTAATGTAGGTTGTGGTAATTTAAAAAGCATGGCAACAAAAAATTCATGAGAAAATCATAATCATAACATACAATAGTTCACAAGAAATAATTACAAATTATATGCTGAATTTTATATATTAATAATTAATATATTAATTCAATGTTTAAAAATTGCTTCTGAAATAGAACTTTTAATCCTGAGCTTACATCATTTTATTTTGCTACATGTATATAAACACATGGTATTTTCAGGTAAAACTGATTTCCTGACATCTATCAATAGTTTCTCCATCCTGTAAATTTGTGGTATTTTTATGCTAAACCAATATTCCAGCAAGTATAAGACAGCAAACTCTCATCAGGATCTAGCATGTTAACTTGCTTTCTTTGTTGTAATAACTCTAGTCAACTGAGAGGTAGTGAACATTTTGTTACTCATATTTGACAACAAACAATCATCACTAACTTGTTCAACTTGGATTCTACGTACAATATTGAAATATCCCTGTAGGCAGAGGAGACATCATTTGCTAAAGAGCAAAGAGTGATGCAGCTAGAACAAGATAATGTTAGCAGTTCTGGTCCATGTTTTGTTGCAATTACAGTGCAGGAACTAAATAATAAATAATTTGGTATAATTCTATATAACTATAGTAGCTAGAAAACCAATGATATGCTGCGTATCACACATACCTTTTTTTAGGGCTAATAAATGTTCTTTTATCCAACACAGAATGCCTTGTCAGAAGTGTGTTGTGAATGTGAGACATGTTCTTTTTAACCAGCCCTGCGAGAAGAAAATTCTGTGTTTTAACTACAGGGATCTAAAAATTAATAGTGACCAAGTACATGCAAGATATCAAAATGTGAATTCAGGCTACTGGAATTGTGGTTAGTATATGCAAAATGAATTTCAGTCTTAAGAAATGCCCATTAGTATGAAAGACTTTTAAAATATTATAATGTAAATTGTAGTTTGTTCAGTGGATAAGGAAATTGTGTTGTATCTTTATGTTATTTAAATCCTGTGGATGATGAGAGCAACAGTAAAGCTCCCGAATTCCCTGGATGGTGTATATTGCTCAAATAGTCAGATAATCAGAATTTTCTGTTTCTGGTTAAGACATGTTACAACTATTGTTATTAAATAATGTCAGTGGCACATCTGAGCTCATTTTTATGCAAAATAAATGTCAGGTGATCAGTTATGTGATATGGAATGCATGTGTCAGTGATATATATGAATGAAGAAAACACACTAATCTCAGAACCCTAGATCAGTAGTTCAATATGCTATTACAGTAACAAATACATTAAGATATTTCCTTAATGTGAACAGTAAGGATTGGCTAAAAGCTGTTCTAACAAAACAAGCAGTTGCAGAGTGGCTTTATAAAGTCTTGCAAAGGATGAATAACAAAATGTTTACTACCTTTCAGGTTAAAATACATTTTGCTGGAGAACTATACAGAAGAGGCTATTGAAAAATGTTACTTGACAGTATGAGTTCAGTATAGATTGTAAGCCTCAGCTTCCCAACTGAACCACATGTTCAGAGCAGCAAACTTCATAAGCCTGACGACAAACAACTAGGGTGTGTGTTCTTTAAACTCATTACCATAAAACCTTCTGTTTTCAGTAATGTCAAGAACATATTGATTGGTTAGATTACTGGTTGAATGTCTTGTTCACAGATTAATCAGGTTTTGTGCTGCATCCAAATACAAGATTTGTACCCATATAGACGTGAGACATAGATATGACATTTGTAGCATATTGATTTGGGTATAAATCATTAAAATGTATATTCTATATGGCACTATAAATGCCATACGATATAAGAATACAGTCATACATCTGTTCATATTGCTATATGCACAAGCAGTTTGTCAGAACTTTCTTTTAATGGATGATGACATGTACTTTGTTTTTTTAAGTAAATTTAATCCTTTTGCACATTCATTAATATCAAGTACTTTGTAGACTCGGCAAATTTCGTGGGTTTGTTAGTTCGTTATTAATAAGTACTTTAACTAGGTATGTTTAGATAGTTTGTAAGTTACATATCATTACTATCAGTAACACCTAATTCAATGTTCTGTCTGAATATTTTTTTTGTTATTGTTAACTATGTGCCTTATTATCTTACTTTTCATCAGTGTAGGACTTAAATTCTTTGCTTTGTTACATTGCTGACATCTTTGTTTCTTTCCTGTTTGTAGGGCTGAGCTTTGATTTGGCTCTTTTTTTCCTACATTGATACTAGAAACCTCATTTTCTCCCTATATTCTACAATTTGGGGTTCTTCCCCACAGTACCCGCATCCTCGACAGTTGTTTAATTCTCTAAGTTGATGCTCTAGTTCAGGGCCCTACCATTCAGATTAATCTCAGCTCTTTAAGTGTTTTATTGGGGGTACTCTTGCCTGACATCTTCACTCTCAGAGTCTTTGCACTCTACTTTCTTTGGATGACTGGCTCCTGCTTGCTTCTTCCTGTTCACAGTCCAGAGACCTCACTCATCTACTCCTACAAGCAGCAACATGGGTAGGATTCCTGATGAGAGTAAGGAAGTCCACATTTGGGGAGGGGGTCTTCATTCTAACATCAGCCAGGCTCAGCCTTCTCCTCTTTGTCTTTGGGTTTGGAGAAGGCAGTTCACAAGTCCCTCACCTCACATTTCTTATCTCTTGTGTGATGTTGGCTGCTGTAGAAGTTCTTATTAGCATGGTCAGGCTCATATCCATTCTCTTCAGTGGACACTCCTAGATCAGTGGAATTTCTCCTCGGATCCTTTGGACCACCCTTTTACCCCTCCTTCACCAATCAGAGCCATCCTGCGTTGGTGGTTAGACAGAGACCAGACCATGTTGGGGGTGCCACTTTACTTCATCTTGTCCAGATTTACATCTGCTCATGGACTTATCTTTAGAGTGTTGGGGTTCTTACCTCAACTCCCAAGAGATTTCTGGTCTCTGGTTAATCAAGGAGTTTTTTCTCCATATCACCATTCTAAAGCCTTTGTCAGTTCATCTTTGTCCCACTTTTTCCTCTCCTGTGGTTATGGTACATTCTGACATTTCCATAGTGGTCACTTATATCACAGAACAAGGTGGTACCAATTATAGGTCTCTGTGCTTTCATATCCTGGATCTCCACTGTGGTTTTAGCTTGCCATTTTCCTGGCTCCCTGAATCTTTTTGTGAATTGATTATCTCCTCTTAACAAAATTCTCCTCACAGAGTGGTCCTTCAATCCACAGGTCTTTAGGTGAGTGGGAGCTCAACTGGGGACACCTCATATATGCCTTTGCCAACCCCTGGAATACCAAACTTCCTCCTCTTTGGTCTACCATTCCACACCCACTAACTCTTGGGGTGGCTGCATTCTGTCAAGATTGGAGGGGTATTCACATCTATGCTTGCCCTCCTATTTCACTTCTCATCAGAATTCTATCCCTATACCAAACCACTCTGTTGCTCATCCTACTGGTGGCTCTATATTAGCCAGCGCAACCATTATCCCCACTGCTCCGACCTTTACTTGTACGATCTCCCCTACTATTACCTCTGTCTTGGTCCCTATTATGTCAACCTCTGTGGGACATTTTTCATCCAGATATCATCACACACGGGTTTTTTCAGGTTCATTGTCTCAACCCAGGGACTGACTCCACATGTTGCATCTTTCCTTTCCTGATCCAATAGATCTTCTTCCACGTCCATTTATCACAGCCAGTGGTATACCTTCCACCTTTGGTCTCTTTGATGTGGTTTCTGTCTTTCCCACCCTTCAGTTCCTCATCTTTCCCAATTCTTCACCTGGTTGTTTGGCAAAGGCTTGTCCACTTTACCATATCTAGCTATTGGGCAGCCTTGTCGAACACCTTCTGTTTCTCCAGGTTTTATCTTCCCCTTTTCATCCTTTTCTGCAGCTGTTGAGTCATGCATCTTCCACATTCGTTTGATTTGCCTGATTGAGATCTCATTGTGGTCCTTTATGCCTTTCCTGTCCTCCTTTTGAATTTTTGTTTTCATGTTCCATCTCCCATCTCTCCCTCAAGACCCATTTTCTTTTCCTCCTTGCTTGTGGATGTTGTAGATCAGATATTTATGCCTTTACTGTTTACATAAGGTTGGGGCTGTTGAGTATATATAACACTGTCCACATGTTATAGCCATTATATTTGTGTTAAAGTATATCTTTTTTAATCCTCAACCTCCTAATGATGAGGACGAGTTATGGAACCACATCTGTATGGTTGAGGTTGTGCATGTACATAGCTGATTCTGTTTATATCTTATTATGGATTGCACTTCTCAGAACAAATCCTTTTTTTCTGTCCATATCAGATTCCTTTCCTACTACAAGGGTGAAGAGCATAGCT